TCTGGAAGCCCCTGTGCCCGCACTGGGCATCCCTGGAGCCACCGAAGCAGCTGCTGCAGCTCCTGGAGCAGGGAATGCAGGACAGCCTGGGCTGTGCAGGGCTGGCTGCACTGAGTGGAACCTTGCAGCAGCTCCAGGATGGAGCCCTGGGACAGGAGGGGAGCAGGGGATGCAGCCCAGGAGCCGAGGCAGAGCACGGGATCCTGCAGCCAGCAGTGGAGATGCCAGAAGAACCAGCAGCCTCTGTCCCTGCCCCTGTCAAACAAGAAGCTGAGCTCCCACGTGTGCCCCCCACGCTGCCTGAAGTGCTTGGGAGCAGTGGGGACACAGAGGCTGAAAATGTTGAAGCTTGAGATGTTTTGTCCTCAGGTGGTTCGGGGTCATATCCATGAGGTGCCTGCCCTCAGGTGGGGATCAACCCCAGCTCTTGCACTCAGGAATTCACAGAATGTGTCCAGGAATCCAGAAACTCTTGCCAGACAGATCTGTGAAGTTTTTACAGAGCTTTCCAGATGTTCTCCTGAATTCTTGTTCAGTCACAGATCTGTTTCCTGCTTTTCCCAGGAGCTGTTTTTCAGATCGTGCCTCGCTGGGAGGGAGCTGATTCACTCCAAGCAGGATTTCACTGAGCTGATGTTGTTACTGCATTCCCCCAGCGAGGTTTGGTGATGGGAAGTTTCATGCCTTGGTCTGAAGAGTCTGGAAACAGAATAGAAAACAGCTCCTCTAATTGTGTTTTCACACAGATGTTTTCTGTGAGGCCAGCAGCCACTTCTCCTGCTGCCTCAGAAAAATGAAATATTTGAACTACCTCCCTGAATGATTCTCTTGTACAATTGATGCTTCCTGCTTTCTTGTCAATGTTAAAATATTTTCACAGGATGATGATGAAATGCAAATTCTGGCTTGTTCTTTGTATCTCTTGTAGTGTGGAGTGTTTGTGTAACCTGTGCAGTTTATGCAGAAGTTAAAATGTAGTCTTGATCAGAATGCAGAAGTCAGTGTACTGCAGCTGAAATATACTGACTTTTAATGTTCCTCACTTTGTGCTACCAATAAAATACACTTTTAAAGATCATGGCAAAACCCCAAACTGAGTGTGTTTTAATTGCTGGGAATAAATGAGAACAGAGACTATGGCTAAAACTGTCGAGTGCTTTTCTTTACACTTCAGAGGAGAAATAGGGACTGACTCCTTTTTAAAGGAGCCTTTTGAGCAATGTCTGACTACAGAGTGCCCAAATCTGTATGGGGGGGAGGGAGAGTGGTGGAAAGCAGATTTTTTTTTAGTCGTTACAGAGTGTTTGAGGAATGGGATGCTGATGGACAAAGCACAAGACAAAACATCCTGCAGGTTCCTCTTTGTTTGTCTTGCACAGAGCTGAAGGCTGAGGAGGAAGAGCTGAGTGTGACCAGTGATGCTGGGGATGAAATTTAACACTTTAGGAAAAGGATGAGCTTTTTTTACACCTCGACTTCTGTCCTTCCAACTGCCCTTAGGCGGCCAAAGCCTCCTGGGTGTAAGACCTGCAAAGCAAATAATTTTCCTTCACTTACTGGGGGAAAGGAGGTGTCTGGAACACTTTCTGCTCCTCAAAAGGCTTCTCTGAGCTAATAAACTCCAATTTTTGCTCAGGTGGGCTGTGTCTGCAGTGCTATTAAACCATGGGCTGCTTGCCCCCTAAAAGGTGGGGGAGTATTAAATAAACACACACAAAGCTGATTGAAAGCTCATCTTTTTGAACTCAATTGTTCCTGCTGCTGTCTAGGAGGGATCTGGGTCTGTTCACTGCCACTCCAAAACCCACATTCAGGCAGGGACATGGCTTGAAGAAGAAACCCTGAAGGAAATCAGCTTCAATCACATTTGTGAGCATGAGCTGGTTATTTAATTGTGCTGAGGAGGATCCTGAGCAGGAGCTGTGCTACAGAAAATATTCTTTACCCATTGAGAATCCTGGACCTGTGGCCCCTTAGTGTGGGGACAGGGGCCAGGCAGAGTTCCCAGGGTCAAGCTGGAAAAGCCAAGCTGCAGAGCTCCATGGTGGAAAACCCTTCCCGTTCCTCGAGGAGCAGATTTTTCAGCCCTGTGCTGTCCTGCTGTGATGGCAGCTCTGTGATGAACGAGGGCAGATCAGCCCTGAGTTTGATGCCACGCCAAGGGGCCCTGCCATGTGCAAGGAAGAGACAGTTCTATTAAGAGGAAACAGCTTAAAATCTGCAATAAAAAAACCCAAACACGAAGAGAGATGCCCTGAGCTGCGTGCAGCCTGCTCCCTGTAAGCAATGCTGCCACAGCAAGGCTTTGTAATGGTGCTGCTGTACAGCATTCCATCCTGCAGCACAGTCCCGGGCTGACAGCTGAGCCCAGCTCTTTGGAGGAACTGTGATTATTTCCTTTTATTTGTCAAAAAAAAGAAGTGAATGTTTTTTTTTTAGAACAGCCCTTTTAAATATATCAAAGTGGCAGAGATTGGAAAAGGCTTTTGGAACAAAGACTAAGCCTGGTAAAGGGAGGAGATGTGATTGCTCTGACAGGAGGATTTTCCTCCCTCCACTTGTGTGTGTTATGTTGCCATCTCCTGTGGTGTCTCACATGCAGGAGATTTTCTGGATTGTTTCAAATGGGTCAAAGTTGGACTTTTTAAACTAGAAAATGTCATATATTTATTTTATATCTATGTTTCATATGTTTCCATATCCCACCATGATTCAAGATTAAGAAATTCTTTAAATTTGTTCAATTTGAATTTTTAAATCTCAGAAATATTCCAGCTACCTCGTGATGAGCTGATGACTGAGCATCTTCACACTGCACAGAGCACTGAAATAAATCCCTGCAACATCTGCAGGATTTGGGAATCCAACTTGCCAAGCTCCCTGTGCTGCAGTGCCTGACATTCCCCCACACAGGAGCAGCTGGGGATGAATTTCCCTCCAGTTGTGTTGTTTTGTGAAGCATCAATGTCCTCAAAGAAGCCACCAGAGTTTTCAGTCACTGCCTGTGACACTCTGCACGTGCTGCCATCTGTGTTTGCCACAGATTAGTTCAGAGAAGTTTCCAGTAGCCAAAGAAATCCTGACCTGCCTCTGAATTTCAGTTCCGCTGAAGCCTGAAAAGGAGAATTAAGAAATAAAAGGGGGGTTTTGCAAAGCTGTAAAACCACAGCAGACACAGAGTGAGGTCCCCCAGCCGTGGCAAAGTGACATTCAGAGGCACCAGGACACGGAGCCCTGGCTCTTATGGTGCAGAGCAGCTGCTGGAGCCCATCCGAGCCCAGGGGGGGGACATTGTCCTGTTTGCTCCCAGCTCTGGCTGCACACTCGGATTTACCTCTCCAAATGTTCCTCCTTTGTCCTCTGCTCCCAGGGAGCCACTGGAGCTCGGCAAAGTTTAGGATGCTGAACCAGGTCTGGCATCCAAAATTGCAGATTTGAGGGGTTTCTATGTAAATAAAAGGAGCCTGGAATCCATCCATTTTGTTGGTTTTTTTTTTTTTTTCACTCCATAGCACTGGTGCTGCAGGCAGTGGATATTTAGGCTCTGCCTTCACGCCCCTGACTGGGATTAGTTTATTTTTTAATGGATATTTGCTTTTGTGTTTTGCCCGTGTGGCCAATTCCACTTTGGAGCTCCCTCCCAGGCAGCAAACACAGGCAGGGCTGGGGAGTGTCAGAGCCAGCAGAGGGTGATCAAATGTGCCTGGGATCGTTCAAATCATCTGCAGCCACTGTAAAACTGCTAATTGCACCTCTCAGCCAGCTGAAGACAGCACACAAGTGGGAAAAGGGGTCATTTTTCACCCCTAACTGCTCAATATCAAATAAAACGGGAGATTGCAACATCAGTATTGTCATTTGTGAGTTATACACAAACCCAGCCTGCTTTTTCTGCCGCTTGGCATCACCACTCCTAAGCAGAGATCAGTTTGTCTTGTCCACGCTGCTCTTGTGTAAATCTTGAGCTTTATTTGAAACGTTCAATGGCAATTATCAAAATGAAGTTAATCACCCTTCAGCTGCACACAGGAGCACATGTTCCCAATGGCTTGGAAATACCTGGGAAAAGAGAAAATAGGGAATAATTAGGGAATAATAAGGGAACTTCAGAACCTGTGGGAACTAAGGTTGGGAGTCAAGGGGGGAGGGATTGAGTGTGACCCCCCCCTTTCCTATTTAACCCCAGGTGAGGGCTTTGCCCCCCAGGTGAGGGATCTTCAGTGGGGCTGTGGAGGTGAGCAGGGCTCTGTGTGCTCTTTTGTTTGGTTTTTATAGGCTGGGTTCCTTGCTTTAATTTATGCACATTTTTACAGCCTGGGCCTCTTTCAGCACAAGTAATTTTGTTGTTTTTAGCTCATTTCAATGTTTAAGGCAGACCTTGATTCTCAAAGCTTCCCAGCTTTGTGCTGGGAAATGTTACTTTATCTTTTAGTTTGCTTGTGTCTCTTCCACTCCTCTCCTAATGTTATTATTCAGCAATAAACCTTGCTGTGTCCTGTGAATTTTAAATTTATCTGTAATTTTTTTCCTGCCTGCCTTGTTTCTCTTCCCTCCTGCCCCCATCTATTACTGGAAGTCTAAACATTTCCTTGACTGGAGTGAAGAGTGGCTCCTGAGGCCTGTCACTGTTTTCCAGAGTTCTCTGCTTTGACTGACAAATGGTTTCTTTTTTTCCCCCTCTTTTCAGGCTGTTATTTCTTCAAAGGCCTCTGTATCTCTCTTTTTTCCCCTCTTTTCAGGCTGTTATTTCTTCAAAGGTCTCTGTGTCTCCCCTGACCCCACCAGGGGCAATTCCACCTGTTCAGCTCATTCCTGTGATCCCTGAGCTACTGCTGGGTGAGAATTAGGTAATTAACTCACCCTAATGAGCACGGGCTAATAAATCTCCATTTTTTGCAGGTGTCAAGCCCCTTCCTCCTCAAGAGCCAGAGCTCCCTGCTCCTGCCCAGCCCCTGCAGCCTCCCAGGAGAAGCCCTTGGAGTTTGTGTGTTCCCCCAGGCATGGGAGGCATTTTTGGGAAGAACAAGAGGCCCTGTGTGTTCCCCAGGGTTGTTTATAGGGCCAAGGGCAGGAAGGGTGCCCGGGTGTGCTGTGATGCAGCCACATGGACTGGGGACACCCATTTCCACTCGGCACGGATTGGGAGGGCTCTGAGGGGCTTTGAGCCTCCTGAAGCCAGCATGGTGCTGGAAGCTTCTGAGAGCGAGTTTAGAGAGGAGGAAGGAGACTCAGCCTCCTGTCCATGGGCACAGCACAGCGAGATCTCAGTCCTTGTAATTGCTGGAGACGCAGCAGGGGCTGAGCCTGGAGCCAAACCTCAAAGAGAGCTGCAGAAACACAAGGGACAAGGACCCCAAAGCCCTGAGGAGAGCAGAGAGGCTGAAGCTGTCCTGCACCCCCCTGAGCTCCTCTCTGGGGAGCCGGGGGTGACACCTCTCACTCAGATCACAGTGGAGGTCGATGTCCACGTGTCTGCAGGTGACCCTGGGGAGCCTGGCCAGGACCAGGCTGCTGCCAAATGTGAGCTGCTGAGGGGGGCACAGCAGCAGGAGGAGGCTGGGGCTGGCAGGGGGGCAGAGCAGGAGGGTGAGGATGAGGATGCCTGTGTTGGGAAGGCTCTTTGGGAGGTGCCCATGCAGAAGGCAGGTGACACCACGGCTGCTTCGTGTCCCCTGGAGGAGCCAGAGCTGCCCCTGAAGGCTGCAGAGCCAGGAGAGAGCATCACAAACGGGCAGAGAGCTGCACAGGAGCAGGGGGGAGAAGAAACTGAAGCCCCACCTGATCTCCAGCTGGGAGAAGATGAGATTGCTGCTCCTGAAGGTGTGAAGGGAACTGCTGGGGGAGCAGAGCAAGATCAAGAGATGCCCGAGACCTGTGGTGATGAGCAGACAGCAGAGGAGACCCCAGCCCGCCTGCCAGAAACCCGGGAGGAGCAGAAACCCCAAGTTAGCAGTGAGGGGAAAGCAGAGGAGCACTGAAGGAGCAGCAGCCACTGAGGCTTTGTTTGTCTGCAGCCAGAGCTGAATGTGCTGCCTCCATCCTGCCAGGGAGGGATGCCAGGGGCTGCCTGTGCCCTGAAGGACTCAGAAATCAGGGTGGTGGTGGCAGAACCTGCCTTGAAAGACTTGAAGATGTAAAAATTTGTGTGTTGTCTTCTGCAAGTGGCACTTCCCTCCTTCCTTCCCTGCTGGGCGAGGGAATGTGGGCATGGGCTGAGTGTTCCTTGGCACAAAAACTGTATTTCTGTATTTATTTATCTATTTATACCCCGGCTAGGGCTGTGCTCTTCATGGTTATCTCCCTGTGTGCGACTGCACAGGGTTAAGTGATGTCTAATTTATTAATTACACGTGTCCTCTCACCCCACTGACTTGTCACCACTATTGGAAATGGATTTTGTGATGAGTGTTGCAATTGGAATCAATAAATGGGTGCATTTTTGCACTGACTGCTGTGAAATGTTGGGTTATATTAACATTCTAATAATTCATTTCTGATATTTGAACTGATGTTTTTACCCTTTTCAGCTTGCAAAGTGTTTGGTAAAATGCTGAATATTGATACCAGTGGCCTCAGAATGAAAGCTGTTCCTCTCCTGGTGATTTCCTTGCAAATATGGCAACACCAACTGGGCTCACTGTGCTTAGACCCTGATAAAATGAAAGATGAAGGGCTAAAATTCCAAATGAGACTCATCTAGGAGCATTTGCTTTGCAGAACTTGGCATTTGCTTTATGGTTTGTGCTGCCTGGGTGGAGGTCAAGGAGCTGTAAACAACAAAAGAAGCTTCTTGTGGTCATTTTGCTGCAAATAATCAATAAATTTCCTGCAGCTGCATATCCAATGCTAATCTCTAATTACACTGTGCTAAATAGGGAGGAGTTTTCCCATCAAGCCTGATTGGTGGCACAGCTCTCACTGAATTTAGAAGTGATTTGGTGCTGAGGGGAATCAGGAAAATAATACAGCTTCATTTCTGTCAAGCAAAATGTTTTTACACCACGTTATTCTGCTGGAACTCGTAGGGCTTTAAAAAAAATTAAATAGGAAATAATTATTTGTATTAGCTGGGAAACTCCAATGTGAAGGAGAACAAGATCCTCCCTAAGGAAAGCACTTCCAGCTCTGGTGTTCCTGCATTCACAGGAGGCAAGAAATGTTGGTTAAAGGCAAGCCAGGAGCTGAGGATGTTGAGAGCAATGCTTCTATTTAAGGGATGATTGGTTTTACTGTCTTTAAGTGCTTATTCACAGCAGGAGTTTGGTGAGCCCTTAAAAATTTCCTGTAGCTCCAAGGACCAGGCTGCCACACTCCAACCCTTTCTAATTTTTTGGTTTTTTGTTGGTGTTTTTTTTTTATCTTGTGACCTAATCTGACTGAGCCCCTGCCCAGGGCACTGTCTCATGTGCCCTGATTTAAATCACTCAGAGGATGCTCCTGGCCCTGGGCTGCTCCTCACAGTCCCAAAAGCCCCTCCATCAGCTGGGTCTGCCTCTGGCAAAGCTCTGCTCTTAGGCTGGAGATTATGTCCTGGTTGCAGAGAATTCAGATTTACAAACCACTGGGTTGGCAGCTCCCCCTTGCCAGGAGAGTGCTGAGCCCTGAGGAAATAATGGGAAAAGAAGCAGAGAGCAACAAAACCCTCTGTGCATCACTCTGCCTCTCTTACATGTTCCAATAGCACTGTACCTGTCTTTGATTGAGTAAAACATCTCAGAATTGATGGGATCCTGTGAAAATTGCACAGCAGCTCCTTCTCCCTGTGACTGAAGGTGTGGGGCTAATCAAGAGTGACAATAAATACATAATTACGTGACACTGTTGGTGCCACACTGAGATGGGTGACAGGGATCAATTTCCAGCCCAAGAGGAATCGTGCAGAATAATTCTGCAGGCTGGAGTCTCACAAACATCATCACAAAACCTGCCAGGTGATCACCAAATTACAGGAACAAAAGTGGCACTGTGCAACTCTTCAGTTTTTGCTGGAATTTTGGTGTTTAAATCTAATTAACAAAGCTGCAGTCTGAATCAATGCTCATCTTCTGGAAAATGAGTGTTTTTTTAAATTCCTCCTCAAAAAAAAATCATGGAATAATCTTCCACCACATGCAATGCTGCAGGAATTTTGGGAAAGAAGTTTATGCAGTGCCCTGACTTCAATTGCACCAATCTGAGTGTTTGCAATGTAAAAAGTTCCTTGGTAAATAAGAAAAAAAATCAGCTAAAATTCCTTTTACCATATTCCAGTTCTGCTGGGTTTTTTTCCCATCACATTCATCTGATGTTTTCAGATGTGCTCCAAGTTCTGTAAAGCCCAAGTTTTGTAAAGCTAAGCTTTACCCTCAACTTTTCCTGCTCTGCACTGTCCTTGTCTGACCTACCCAAAATTACACATGGGGGAGGTTTGGCTTTCCAATTTTAATGGCTTTAAATGCCTTTGTCAGAGGAGACTCTGCCTCATTTCTGATATTTGCATTGACTCCAGTGCCAGAAGTGATGGTTTTTTTTACCCTTTTCACCTTGCAAAGTGTTTGGTAAAATGCTGAATATTGATACCAGTGGCCTCAGAATGAAAGCTGCTTTCCTTGAAAACATGGGAACACCAACTGGGCTCACCGTGCTTAGACCCCGATAAAATGAAAGATGAAGGGCTAAACTTCCAAATGTGACTCATTTAGAGCAGGGCTTGGGTTTGAAACCACCTCAATGCTTTTAAATTCCTATTCCTGCCCTGAGAGCAAGGAAAATCCACCCTGCAGCAGCAGAACTCTTGCACCATCCAGCAGAGCCCATCCCTGACTCCTCCAAACTCTGATGAGTGAAGGCAAATTCCGCTTTTTACAGCCCTGTCTGGTCTATTTAGTCAAGTGCTAATGGGAGGATTTATTAACGATGCAGTGGCGTGGCTGTGTCCCGGCGCTGTTCCCAGGCTCCAGGCTGCCCTCTTAAGATGATAAGCAGCAAATTCCTTTACTCAAATCCACGATGAATCACTGCAAATGGGTCTAAAGCAGCATTAGGAGTCACACAACTGCCTTGGAGTGAAATCTAATTTTTTGGCGTTTGGGAAATCTCAGCTCCGTGTTGCTAAGAATCCTTGCATTGAATTTTTATAATTAAACTTCCTGTCATTCAGCAGGAAAGCTTAAAAAAAAAAGAACTGGTTACACTTGAGGAACTAAAATCTCAGGAGTGTTTAGGAGCTGCTGGAGCTGTTCAGAACTCCAGTGTTTCTTTTCCTTTTGAAGCACCTTTATAAATAATCACCCTCCTCATCACAGTAAATCTCTTTCTCCTGAACTCTTACACAACTAAATAAAAAGTTCTAAAAACAGCTGGTCAAAAAACAAACACTTCCCTTACCCAGAGCAGCAACTGCTGGTCAATAGTCTTGTTCAATACAAAACAATTTTGCATTGCTTTGGTTGTTGGATCCCTGCCTGGCTTTCAGGAGCACAATAATTTCTTTCCTTCCTCACACTCTCCTCTCTCCACAACATCCAAGGAGCCCAGATGAAAAATCACAAAATCTGCACTGATCTGACAACCAGATGTGAAAGTTAGAAAAGTTCTGAAACAAAAGCCACTCAAAACACCTTTCCTGAGAGAGAGAGAGATAAAACATGATCACAAATCTCCCCCAGCTCTGCCTCCTTTGCTGCCAGGTGCCTGCAGCTCCTCACAGGAGATGAAAAGCACCCAGAGCTGTTCCTGTGGATGGGGAGGATGTTCTGTGCCTGCAGCACCTCAGCTCCGAGGGTTTTTTCCTAAATTCTATCCTGCAGCTGCTGCTCCAATCCCAGCGTGGTTTGGGTTAGAAAGGACCTTAAAAATCATCTCATTTCACCCCTTGCACTGTCCCAGGGTGCTCTAAGTCCTGCCCAGCCTGGCCTTGGACACTTCCAGGGATGGGTAACCACAGATTCTCTGTGCCATCCTCACAGGGCAGAGTTTCTTCCTGAATGTCCCCTCTAAAATGTTCTCTGTCAGTTTGGAGCCAACCCCCCTTGTCCCCTTCTTGTCAGAAGTGTCTCCAACCTGTCACCCACAACATTTCCCTTTGATTTAGTGTAAATACCTAAAGAGAAACCCCACAACATTTCCCTTCAATTTAATGTAAATACCTAAAAAGAGACCCCACAACATTTCCCTTCAGTTCTGTGCAAATACTTCAGGGACAAAAAGGAAAATAATATTTAGATACACAGAACCCTCTGATGTGAAACTTTCAATGATGTTTTATAAACAAAGAGCAAGAACAGTTCCCAATCTTTCAGGCAGCTGTGTAAAGATCAATAATTAATTAAATCATTAGGTTTGGGTGGAAGCAATTCAGAATTCCTGCCCTGCCCTATTTAAGGTCCAGGTGCTCCTTCCCAAACTCTGCTGGGAACTTCTTGGAGTCATTTCCTTTACAAGTAAGTGTGGGCACTGTATGAGAGAATTTTGGGGGTGTTTTTTTTGGGAGGGGAAAAAGGGATTTTTTTACTTAATGTTTGAGGGTTTTGTTTGACTTCTCTAGTGAAGGAGAGCTCTGCCTTTAGGTTTTCAGCAAAACTGTAATTATGTTTTCTTGTGTCTTTGGCTTTGAACAAAATTTTGCTGATGGCAAGACAGGACTAAAAATGAAAAATTCACAGCATGAAATGGTCAAATGAGGAAGGGAAAATAATATTCCTGCATATAAAAAGTAACTGGTATCTTTAGGTAATAAATACCTATATCTTTATAAACAAACTCTCTTTGGAGACAGCAGCAGAAGATTCTGTCTTTTGTCATATTTTGAGCTGCTTTTGTAGTGATGATGAATAAGTAGAAGTGTAACAGAAAATAAGTCATTATTTCCTTTTCTTCTCCTGGCATTTTACTGCCCTACCAAAATGCCATGGAACATTTCCTGGCCACATTTATTTGCACAAAATCCTTGCTGCTGATGCAGCAATTGCTTACAAAACATCCATTTATTTGTTACCTG